CGGGACGTCTGGCAGAATGCTTGGCTCCCTGCGCCAGAAGCGAGACCCGAAGGGTTAGCTTCTAGAAATAGATAAAATAGGCATTAGGCATTATGAGCTGGAAGGAGGCAAGCAAATGAAGGGAGACATTACGGGCTGACTACAAGAAGCAAAGCTTCGTAGACTCGACAAGTCCCCAAGAAATTTCCCTGATGTTACTTCGAAGGCGCACGATACTATTACCTCTAGAGAGAGATAGAGATCCGCTACGTGAGCGTTAGAAGAGCAAAAGGCCCGGGGCATAGTTGGATGAACCAATGTGAATTAGTGTAAGCTTCGTGACCTGAACACGATTGATGCTGACCACACTAGGTGCTACCGTGAGTCAACCTGTGGAGGCACCATTTGTTACTATTAGACAAATTTCTCCTTTTGTTTTCTTCTTGTTCTTTGCCATAACGCCCATTCCGGGACGAGTTGGAAGAGGAATTCCTAATTCTCGTCTTTCCCTTAATAAGTCATCAAATTTGGTGCTTTTTGATCCCCAGTTGTTATGGAGAACAAAGGACGAAATAGAATCGATTCCTCTATTTAAGTGGTTCTCGCTTCTCCTTATTCCTATTCCTAACTCTTCCCCGGGTAGTTCCCAATGTTTGGCACTTTCCATACTTCRTGGGTGCAACATCAACAAATTCGTTCATGATCAAGTTACAACTTAAGATCTATGACTATATTATGTTAACTGTTTGTATTTCGTTCATTCTATCGGTTTTGCTAAAATAATGAAGGAACTTGCACCCCCTACACTCTCTCTTAGGCTTGTGCGGCTACCTTTGGGTGTTGAAAAACTCATTGATTCCCGATACCGAGCTACTAAAGGAGGTAGACCTTCGGTGTCACCTTAAGGGAAGCCTGATACCAAAAACTTGCCTTATGACTGATAAGGTAAGGGGTTTCAAAAGAAAAAATAAAATGAAAATTCTACGTGTGATAGAAAAAAATGGAGATCTTCTTTTTTTTTTAGTGTGCGCGGTTCGCCTGCCTTCCTTCCTATACAGCCCGAATCTCCTTCCTATTTCTTTTTTTATAGGAAAATCTGCCCGCCCCGAGGAAAAATATGTGTCCAGGAAGGCTATGTAAATTAGGGTCTTTAAGCCCTCACCCAGCACCTATTAGTTCAATCAACATACGTTTCCAGAATGACTATGCATAGATCACCCCTCTTTGTGTGGTCCGTTCTAGTGACAGCATTCCCACTTTTATTAGATGTGTATAAGAGACAGTTGTGTGGTCCGTTCTAGTGACAGCATTCCCACTTTTCATTTGCTGAGATACTGGATGCTTACCGAAATAGGGGAATTGCACGTAAGAAAAGGGAGAATCTTCATAGACTGGCTTCCACCAATCGAAGTTTCGCGCATTTCACGGGCCCCTCTACTGAGAGGTGCACCATGTTAATAGGAATCGGCAAAGACCTTGTACACGTCCTTGAAGGCTGCATTCATGGCAATCATCACTAGTTTCTCCCTCATTTCTTCTTTTTTCTCAGAAATGGATTGCCCAACCCACCTCTAAAATATCCTGCATAACGAAAAGTATTATTTGGTACAGAGAGGAGCTAGATCAGTTGCCGATAAACAAGTAAGAATTGCCTCAACAAAAATTGATGGAATTGGACCTAAAAAAGCCATTCAGGTTCGTTATCGATTAGGTATTAGTGGGAACATAAAGATCAAAGAGTTAACTAAGTATCAGATCAACCAAATTGAACAAATGATAGGTCAAGATCCAAACATCGTGAAAAGTTGTCCAAATTGCCAAGAAAGAGTTCCTTTGCACGAGTAAGAAACCTATGTATTTCCACGGGTCGCCTTCGTGGAGTAGATGCAGAAGTGAGCGTACCCCACTCCTCTCTCCCCCGATATCGACAATCCAGTTCTGCAGGAAGGAGGCCTAGAAAAGGTCAGCGGGGCAATAAAAAATACCTGCTTTTGACGCTACGCTGTGCCAACCCGGGATGCTACTCACGAGCTGGTCAGGGACAGGTTCGGTCACTCTTTCGATGCCATGCCATTGTGGTGGCACGGGAACCATTGAATGGGGGCGGTTTTCATCTCATCGCTGGCGTGTGGAATACAAGTGCATCCAAGCACAGCGCAGCCAAGAGGGTCCAAGATTGCTTTTTTGGTGGAACGGGTGGGGATATGAAATTCCTCGCTCGTAAATTGGCCTCCATTGAAAATGAGAACTCCCTGTTCTGGATGGAATTGGACAAAGACTCTTTCTGGGAAGTGGTTACTAGAACTTCATGAGCATACCTAGTATACGAGGGTGCTGAGCACACTGAGAGACACGAAAGCGCAGGTAACGCCAGTTGGCGAGGTGGCGTTAAGCATCCCTAGCGGTACGAAAAGAGAGGTCGTGATGATATCATCTACGTCTATACCGCTCCTCGTGGAGTAGATCCCTCATCCAACCAAGTCTTTGACCAGGGAACGGGAGAATTCCCATTACTCGACGAGGGAAATTCCTCGCACATAATTAAGGGAGCCATTGAAAAGTGACTGAAACACCAAAGGTGGGAAGTACACACCGAATGTTGCATTAAACCAATGTTTATCGAAGTWAACGTGTACGCGAATGCTCGCTTCCTTACTTCAGTCCGAGGATCCTCGATATGTTGGCCCCTTTTTCATGTGGATTTACCCATCACAGAGATGCACAGAGGAACATAACGAACTTCTTATATCCCTTTTCTTGTTTTTTTAGAATTGTAATTTATTCATTACAAATATTATATCTCATTTCTAATTAATTATTATTTGCTAATAAGTATTTTAATGTCCAAAACCTTTTTTATTTTAATTTAACTATTAATTCAGTTATTACTAAAAAAAACTATTAATTCAGTTATTCTTTGGGACAGTTACAAATATGGCAAGAAAATTTAAGGAAATAACAAATCTAGCATCTACATTTTAGATTTGCAAATTTAGCAAAATTTTTAGAAAAATCGGAGGTCAAATAATAAAATGTCAAATTTACCCTAGTAGCATTGATATACCATTGATATAACATTGGTATATATATATTTGATATATACTTGATATACATCTGATTTACGACTGATATATCATTGATATAACTATGATATCTACTAATATAGTTTCTTATATGATTATATTATTTACTATTTATTGATTTACCACTAATATATGTGTAATATATTATTGATATGTCTTTGATATACCACTGATATAATACT